CAAGGTTTGGTGTATGGATCGTGTCAGCTTTCATACCATTACGCGCAGTGGATCAACAGCATTATACAGATTATTCAAAAGAGTGGGCCAAACCGTTGTGTCCGGTTCAAGTGAAAGTTTTGCGACGGAACGTGATTTGCGTCGAATGCTTCGGAATCCACAGCATCTGCAGTCGGATATACATAGTGCAAATGATAACAATGAGATTCCCGGAAACGCTGCTGTGCTGCTGCCATCAGCACAAGCTTACGATCGTGCAATTCGAGTCGCGCTGTCGCTGTTACTAAATGATCCGTCTGGACTTGTAAACTTCTCCCAATTTGCACATTTTCATATTGCACTAGGCGCGTCAAATCTTGATCACTTTCTTCCAGAAGCTGCGTTTCGCGTGCTGAAGTCGGTGACAAGCTTTAACGACGAGACTAAGTCGCATGTACCAGTATCGTCTGATCTACCTGTCGAACAGGATTATAATGATCAAGCTGCTGTAAGACTGAATGATTTACCGCGTGCAATTCGTCAGTACGTGTCTACGAGTGAGGCCGTAGGCTCTACTTTTAAAACCCTAGAGACATCAATCTCCATGACACCTGAACGCTTGGCGTTTTACGAACGCATGTTTGACTTACCTAAGCACCAGTTTGGAGACCAGTACGTGACGCATGACGATTTGGTACGAGGAATTGCTGCATTTGAAGTGGAGGATGCGTCATCAGAAAATGGTCAAGAAGATCGAGTAGACGTTAGTGTAGCTGCTCTCAAATTCGATATCAATGTTTTGCGCACCGTTTGGCATGCCGCTGAAATGCAAGCTAATGACAAGGATCAGATAGCAAGAGTGATTGACCAGAATCGATCCACATTCATCTCAAACGTCAAGTCTGGGTGGCTTTCTTCTTTACATCAAAATCCTACGGGTGATGACTGGGAATACTTGCAGCCGGAGCTGGAGCGCAGCCGAAGTAATGTGGATTATCAGAATAACGCAGAAATTTTAGGGCAACAAATGACTGCGCAGCTCACTTCGTTTGCCGCTGCCATCGCTGCTGGAGTAGTAGTGCGAACTATATGTGCTCCACTAGAGCGATTACGGATATTAATGCAGCTGACAACTCCAAAGCTGACGTCAACCTCAGCGACTGTAAAGCTTCCTTCAGCCACGCCGCCATACACGTCCGTCACGAAAGGAATCGTTAATATGATGACACTCAGTGGACCGCGTAGCTTGTTCAGCGGTAATGTTGCTCACTGTCTTTGGGTTGTGCCTTGTGTCCCCATCAAATTCGCTCTAGGGCACGTCTACCACGAGCACCTGATGCGCTCGGCTTTTCAATCTTCGTCATTGTTTGGTGACAAGTCTCGTGTTTCAGCAAGCTTGACCACTTTCGTTATGGGAGGATTCGCTGGTCTGACACTCAACTGCTTGCTGTACCCGCTCGACGTCATACGCGGACGGCTGACGGCTCAAGAGTATTACAATGCAAATCGTCCTTACACTGGTATTCTGCACTGCGCTCGCTCTATTCGTGATCATGAGGGACTGCGCGGATTTTATCGAGGATTCGGACCTGCGAGTCTTGGTGTCTTCACATACATTGGTTGCAATTATGCTCTGTACGAGTCTTTGCGGCCAGTATTTGTACACTACGACGTTGAAGACACAAGCATTCAACTTGGTCACCCTAGTGTACCGGGCCAAATTTTGTGTGCCACAACAGCTTCGCTTGTGTCGCAGTGCATATCGTATCCCTTTGATGTCATTCGACGGCGCATTCAATTGCAGGGCACAAAGTGGCATCCAGAACTTGCGTTTTCATCGTATAAAGGTGCTTGGCATTGTGTACGAGCGTCGGTGGTCGATGAAGGTGGTGCTTTGCGAGGAATGCGCTCACTGTACCGTGGGTTTGTTATCAATGTTGTCAAGGCATTACCATCTACTGTGATTTCGTTCCTCAGCTACGAAAAACTGCGCACAGTGGACAGCAATTGCAAATAACATCATGCGTTAGTATATTGTTAAAAACAATATAGAAAGCGCCCAATTTGAAGCAACGGTCGTGAGGATCGAAGTACATTTGAAAACTTATCGTTGCTAGCCTTAGCTTATGCATTACCGTCTATCGGGTATGACTCACCAAATTTACAATATTTTAGAGAACAAACGGTTGTGTAAAAATCTTTGCGACGCATTTGTAAGTTACAATGATACTAGTGTTATACAGCGAAATACTCAAATCAAACAACACACTACAGCTTCTTCATCTAACGATAATATGGCAAAAAAA